GCGGCGCCCCCCCGGGGCCCCGGGGGCCGCCAGAGCCGCCAGCGGGCTCGCCCGGGCGGCCGCCAGGCGGCCGCGCGGCTCCAACTCACCCGCGCACCGGCACTCCCGAGTGAACCTCCCTCCTCGCTCACCGCCCTATCGCGGGAGAGCTTTGGTGCCTTGGCTGTCGGGTTTTTGTAAAGAGGCGTTTCCGTATCTGTCCGAAGATGAGAGAGGCCGTGAAACCGGAGTGCGCCGTCCCAGCCCCGTTCTTGTCCGAGAAGGAGGCCTGGATCAAGCGCTCCAAGGCGGCAAGCGCACGAACAGCCCCGCACAAACAGCACGTGCCCGCGGGTGCATCTGACCCACCCTGCAGCCTGCACAGCGCAGGGCCGCGCTGCAGACCCCTCGCGGTGTAACCCCTCGCGGGGTATCCCCTCGCGGTGTATCCCCTCGCGGGGTATCCCAGGGAACGGCACATGCTGCGGGATTCGGACACCCGCAGCCCAGCGTTCACGCTGGGTGAGAGGGGGTGTTTCTTCAACGCAGCCAGGGTGGCCGGGAGCGGGAACGTCCCTCCCTCCGCCGGCCACAGTGCGAGCCCAGAGCGGAGACGGCCGGCTGCTCCGTGCCGTGGGTGTGCGGAGGAGCCAGCGGAAACCTTTCCTGGGTCTGTGTTGGAAGATGCCTGCAGGGCAGAAAAGTCGTTGGTGCTGGGCCAGGAGAGTGGGCGATTCAAATGCCTCAGGCACAAAGTTTAACCTCTCTCGGCTTGAACTTTATTAGCCAAGAAACTCTTGCCGGATCTAACAGAGGGGAAAGCGTGAGGGCAATTTGCGTTCTGGCCTCGCCTGGGGTGAGCAGGGTAATGGATCCACTGAAGCGGGGTAAGGGGTGGCCCTTGGCAAGGACTTCTCTGCTTTGGATGAAGCTCTGCTTCCACGGCGGCATGGCAGCTCTGAAACCAGACAGAACGGGAGGGTCACACGGCCACAGAGGCCAGTGTGTACTAGCTCCTCTCCTCCCGAGACAAACCCCCATGTAGGTACTTCCCTGAAGCACGGGTGCCTCGAAGCATCGAGGGATGCCTAGGGAGCCTGGCTGCCAGCTGGGTGCATCCTCCTCCAACCTACCTGCAGCTACAGGTCTTCCTCGTTTCCTTGTCTGTGGAGTGAAAAGCAATGGGAGACATGTTACGCTGGGCAACGTGGCTGAGACGGGAGGGAGCACGAGCCGATAATCCAGCCCTTTCAGCTGGCAGGCCTAGGACACGGAGGACAGATGAGGCTGCCTTCAAACCGTGCAATACCCACCTCCTCTTCTTCTTCCCTCCGCAGTGGAACCGCTGGCCTGGGGGCAAGAGGAGCAACTGAGGCCTCCTGTGGCTGGAGCCTTCCCCCCCGCCCCATCTCCCCCGTCCCTCTCTGCTCCGATGAAGCAGTCCTGCTCGCGGGCTTGTCCCCTCAGCAGGGACCACCAGGTTTGGCTCCTGCGGGAAGCCCCGAACCCCCCTGCCTCCACGCTGGGGCTGGCCTCCTGCACGGCTCCTGCCAGTGTGGGGAGACACCGACCCCATGTGCTGCCTCCTGGCGCCCGGCTCAGCTGCGCTGCCTGGCCAGCCCCCCTACACCACCCCGGACCCCAAAGCTGCAGCCCCCGGCACTGCCCAGCGAGGCGCCAGCCACGAGAGCCTGCTCAAATGTCTGTCTTTCTGCCTAAGCTGCTCCCGCAATTGCAAATGCAGGTGGTTTTCTTATCTTTCTCCCTAAACCCGCTGTGCAACGCGGAGCGAGGCGGGCAGTGCCTGTACGCGCGGGCAGGGTGCCCTGCACGCTCGGCACCAGGTCTCTCTGGGAGCTGCCGAGGTCTGAGGGCTCTGGGAAAGCTGGTTTCTCACTCTGGAAATGTCAGAGTTTTCTCTGCTATTTTTAATTAGTGACCTTCCCTCTGAAGCCTTGACGCTGGCAGGGAAACGCCAAATATTTATGTGGTCTCCTTCCCAACTCGCTTTCTGTTGGGAGCTTGCCTCGATGGAAATTTCCCAGGCAGCCCCAGCTGCGGGAGATGCCCACCCCTCGCGTGGCGGGGCAGGGTTGGCAGCCCCCCACCCCAGCACCCGGCCAGTGCCTGGCCCGGGGCGAGGGATGCGAGTGGAGAAGGGGCCCACCCCAGCACCCGGCCAGTGCCTGGCCTGGGGCGAGGGATGCGAGTGGAGAAGGGTCCACGCGCAGGGGAATGGAGCCGAGGAGGGTGTCCGACCCACCCGAGGCACTTACTGAGGATGATGAGGAGCCCGACGACAAAAGCCACGACAGCGAAGATCAGCCCCCCGTTGCGGATGGTCTCATAGTCTGGGGAGGAGGAGACCCGAGCAGGCGTCAGCCTGGCCGAGGCGCGGGGCTGAGCCCGCAGAGCAGAGCCCACGGGCAGGTGTGGGAGGAGGCTGCCCATCCTGCTGCCCGCAGCCCCCGGGCTGCACGGGGCACGCACTCACCGTAGCTGAACCTGTCCAGGCCCTGCTCGGGCGCTTGTTCTGGAAAAGAGGAGAAACCCAAGTGAGAGCGAGGGCCTGGGCTTGCAGTGGGAGCCGGGACAGGGAGGCGAGGTGGGAAAGATCAGGAATGAGGGCTGCAAGCAAGAGCGTTCTGATTTCCTTAAGATGTAGCTGAGCCAGTAAGAATTCCCGAATTCCTGTCTTTCACCCCAGGAAGTTTAAAGTTCACGGTGCATTTGCAGGATGCATTCGCAGGACGTGTGGGAGTCTCTCGAGCTCCAGGTGAAGCTGCAGACAAGGACCCGGCTTGACTGTTTGCAGCAGCCGGTTGCTATTTGCTAAGGCTGCGCTGCTGGCAGAGCAGCCTTCACGGTGCCCTCGGGAAGTGCCGCTGCCCACAAGGCTCAGCGGGGCAGCGATGGCTCTGCTCCGGCGGCACAGAGCACTGAACAACCCCTCGCGCCGACACCTTGAACCGGGGTGGTTCCCGGCAGCCTCCCTCCACACCAGCAGGCTCATCCGTCTGGTGGCTGCGTGTCACCGCTTGAGCCACGTTACCTGACTGCACGTCCCTCTGCCAGGAGCCGTTTGGAAGGAGAAATCCCCCTGAGAAGCCAAACACCAGCCGGCACCGACGCGCCAGCAGGCTGCAGAGCTCTGGGGATTCATCCCCACATCTCCCCTGAATCCTCCGCGAGAGCTTCCCCCGTGCAGGCTTCTGCGTGGCAGGAGGGACCAGCCCTGCGCCTCCCGCAGAGATGCCCCCGTGAAGGCGTCTGCCCCCCCAGGGAAGCCCCTTTCGGGTGGGCCGAGCAGGGTGCTGGCTGCGGGTGCCTGGGGTGCCTGCCGCGGGTGCCTGCCGCCTGCCCCGCTCTCCGGAGCGCCCTTACCATCACCCATCGCGTCGGCGTGTCGTCCGGCGGGCGTCTCGCTCTGGGAGCGGGCGCCCACGGGAAAGCACATTAATTGGGAGACAAACCTCATTAAACATTAACGGCCTCGGTGTAATGTTTATCGCAGTCACGAGGGGAGGCACAGGGCTCCCGCACGCCTTTGGGAAGGAGGCCCGGGAGGGGAGGGCAGGGTGCGCACCCACCGTGCCAGCTGGCGGGGAGGGCTGGGCACCCCGGAGCCGCGGGTGTCCCTGTCCCAGCCGGGAGGAGGGCGGCACGCCCTCCCTCGGCTTTCCAAACATCAGGCCAACTGGGCTTCACCTCCCGCAGTGGAGGCGAGCCCGAGGCGGGGGGCAGAGGGATGGGCTCGGCTTTGGGCTGCAAGAGGCTCTCTAGCCTTTTGCTAGAGAGAAGCGGGCAGCATGCCCCGTCCCCGCAGCCTGGCGCCGCAGGTCCCCACGACAGCCGGGTCAGTTCCTCCCAGCGCAGTGACGAGCCGTCCCGGGGGGCCCTGCCGCACCCCGGCA